TTAGTTTTAAATTACATGTATGCTGTTGTGTTTAAAAATAAAGTTTCAAAAATGTTAATCATTCCAGACCCGAACAAAAGGAAAGAAATTATTCATTGCAATATGTAGAGCTCAGTCAGGATCCCCCTTGTGTTTTGTAATAAGAAAGCCAAATTGCCTGAGCAGTGCACACTTCATTTAGCTTTACTGCAATTAAAAAATAATTGAAAAGCTCTTTTATTGCAGCAAGGCAGAGAGACTGTAAATGCTTTGAATGCAAAGCATTTATGTGGTAACATAAAGAATCTGTCCAGAGTACAAAGATTATCCTGGAAAATAAAGTATGTTATTTTTCTTATTTATGTAACTCAATCTACAGACCAACTCGCTACTGGAGAACAGATCATATAGGAAAAATTATAAAACAATATTTTTTATTTCAGTTTCCTGAAATGGAATGCATCTGAAACTGGGCTGTTTTGTTTTTCAGCTTATTATGACACTTAGCTGCATCCCTAATAAAGAACTCATTCCTGAAAGCAGCACAGCTAATTACATTTTATTGTTTAAGGGTGCAACTGGGATTAAGGGCATTCTCGCAAGATGATGGGTCTGTGTTAGTTTGCCCTATGAACCTATGTAAATGGACCTATGCTCATGTTGAAGCTATGTAAATGTTGTTAAAATTTGCTGTATTATGTAGTCCAGCAAAAAACTGTAGCTTAATTTTGCCAAACTCCAATCCCTGGAGAAAGGAATACTAAAATGAGACTGTTTCACTGTTTTTTCTAATACCCAGAGATTTGCAAACATATTCCTGGTGTGGTTTTCATGTTTATTTTTAGTTCAGGATGAAGCCTGGTTATTCAATGTATATTTTTTTTTTTCTGTAGTGTCCTGTGGCTTCCTCTTAAAGAACATTTTTCCCTTCCACCACCCCCATCCCAAAATACTTTTGCTTAAAAATTCAGTTATATTTTAATATTGGAGAGAGCACTCTAAAGAAGTCATGTTCATATACTTTGGGAACTTTACCCTTCAGTGATAGTAGGCATTTCCTCACGTATTTGTACACTGTATTGCATTTGGCATACGTTTGTGAACTGTGTTCCGGGTTGAGTATCTTTGATGAACAAAGAAGAGGTATGTCTTTTGAGCAATGTTCTATAAAAGGTTGATAAACATGCAGTCAAAGTTAACATTTCAGTACTTCGTTTTATTTAATACAACTGAGATGTTAAAAAATATGTTACTTTCCTTAACTGTTTTGGATTGCTTTGATCAGAAAGAATCTGATACGCTACACTATGAAGAACATGGTTGAACTAGCTTTTGAAGATTTTTTTTTTTCTTAAAGCTCTCTTTGCTATTTTTTAAAATTTATTTAAGGTAACGGAGCAAATTTCTAAGCTCTGAAAATGGAAGATTTTTTTTTTTAAACAACAGACAAGCATAGTTAAATATTCCTAAATATTTGACTAGTCAAACAATTCCTAAACTAATATCCATTTAAATCCATTAGAATATTGAAATATATTCAACACCTTTTTTTAATGTGTTTTTGAGGATTTTTTTACAGTATCTATTGGACTTCTGTGTGTCAGTATCAAACATTTGTAATTTCCTTAAATTTACCAGTTTAGAAGAAGATGCGTAAATAGAATTTATGGTGTCAAGCTTGATCTTTCTCTTCTGCAACATAATCTAACAGTACCTTTTAAACAAAGTAATGTCTATATTTTCAAGGAAAGATACCAGTTATTTCCCGTTTCTGATGTTCGTTACACATTTAAGGAAGAAATTAAAAACTGGTTAAGAACATAGAGAAATCCAGTTACTTCTTTCTGTCATTTTAGCACTGGTTATGGTAACTGAGGCATTTATTCGAGAAAGCCCAAAGAAGATTGGAAAAGCTCGGTTTCGTTAAAGAGGTGCCTTCTTCAGTCATGCTGAACAGGCTGTTGACTACAGCGGTGCAGAACTGCAACTGGGAATGAGACGTGAGCACACCAGGATTGTAGTTCACTCTCAACTGCCTGACTAAAACCTTAGAAGTAAGCGTGCAAGCAGTTCTCCATAGCTGAGCTGCTCGTACTTATCTTCTCTGAAAGCGTTAGTGATTATTGATGTCCGTAAAGTTAAACCACTTGAACTAGATAAAGCTATCTAGGTAAACCTATGTGTACTTGAACTGCATTAACCCTTGCTTGCATTGGTTTTGCTGAAGTCAGGCTCTAGTCACAAGTTTCCTTCCTAGGCATTTAAGGTTAGTGTCAGATGTTTTAGTCGTACAGCTGGAAAAAATAACAAAAAAGCTAGGTATGGAGAAAATTTCATCCTAGAGGGTGTGTTCATTCTGTAATGTTCTCATGGTATAGCATCATCTTCATTTTGTCCAATTAGCCTATGGCAGTGCACACGCAAGTCTTTTGCAGTAAGGTGGTTTGTAGGTCTCACAAGTGCCAGAATGAACTCTGGTTCACTGGCCGGATAAGCACAAAGGACTTTTCCTTCACACACTTAAGACTCAAATAGAAATCAAGTATATTAAGAATAGGGCTCTCATCTAGCTCTAGAAGACAGGCAGACATGAATATGTGTGTGTGTCTATGTGTGAAAAGTCCTTGAAGACGGCTGCTCTTTTGTGATAGGGCAGATTTTCTTTTCCTGTTGAAGTAACATGAGAACTAGGATTCTTAAATGGTTGGTGGTGGTATGCCGTAATACTGAATTAAACATCATTCTCACAGCTGCAGAAGATTTGGTTGTGGCTGCCAGAAGCTGTGGAGCAGAAAACCCATTCTTATGGGTAACACCATTTGTAGCAGGCTTCTTATATACCTGCAGTAGAATTTCTGTATCGTTGGTTTTGCCTGGAGGGTTGCTCTGATATATTTTAATTGTCTAAAATTCATGTCAGCTGTCAGTGAAAATTTTTCAGTACCAATTTACTGCAAGTTTTTTGATTGGTGTTTGGTTGGGACCCTCCACTTGAAAAGATCATTCTTTACTCTTCTCAGAAAGATTTTTTTGACCCTGGTCAAAAAATTGTTCTGTTGTAGGAAAATTTGAGAGCATAGTAAATGCTGGGGTATGTAGGATATCCTCTATGACACCCACTGTGTTCAAGAATCATCTTCTTTTGTTTGTGCTTGTCCAGTGCTTGTGTGAATAAGCCTATTGAAAAAATTGGAGTTTTCCTGTGCTACATCAACCCAGAGATTTGACATATGTAGATTACCACCTATAAGAATATCTGTTCGTGACTCCCCTGTAGAAAGAAATGAAGCAAGACATTGCCTTTAATTATAGTTGCAATTTCTTTTTCACTCTATTAAATGCTGTAGCTGTGGTCTTCTGGTAATTATGTCCTTTCTTCCATCTCTCTAATTTTAGACCTATCCAACTGCTGGTTAATTGAGTCAATTTTTGAATTCATTACCTCTAACTTGTGTACTGTCATATGCAGTATGTTCTTTTCTAATGCAAATGAGGTTGTTGGGTTTTTTTCCTTGAGCTGGACCAAGAAGCACTGATCAGTGGTAAGAACATTCCTTAGACACTCTATTCAACTTATGCATTTGTTTGGATGTTTTTCTTGATATGGGTATTGGACTTTTGAGTCAGTTTGCTAGTGAAATTTTGCTTCTCAAGTTCTCCAATAATAAATCTAGTAAATAGCAAGGCAAAGTTAACTTTGGACACAAGGAATCCCTATAAAATTGAAAAAAAACTTCTTGTTCTTTCGTGGGAGTTTGTCTGTAGGTGTGTGTTGTCTAATGCTGCATTTTTGACTGCTCAGCATTTCAGAAGGCTGTGTGCATAGATTTCTCTTCTGGCAGTGCACAACTGTGCACTCATTAAAATGGAAATAGAGATCATTTCTATGACTGATGTACTCTAAGCATGGCAGCTAATGTGAAGGCCCAGGGGACTGGGATTAGCTGAGGACAGGTTGGAACAAGTAGCTGAACTGGAGGATTGGCATCAGAAAGCTGACCTGCAGGAGAGCACCCTTCTGCAAGTGCGCTTGTTTGAGCTGAAGGGGTTGCTGTCATCAGCTGCTGCTGCTCCTCAGCTCTCTGCTAGAAGTTATTTCCCTCTCAAGTCTGCTGGATGAGCCTTTTGTAAGACTGTTACTTAACCCTCCTGGTCACAGTTAGTGTAATAGCCTCTTGTTAGCCTTTCTCATTTAACTCAAGTCAAGGAGTGACCACCCGTGCAGGTAAGTCAATGAATCTCAAGGGGGTTGATGACAAGCAGTTCCCAGTGGTCTGGGTGAAACCACCTCTCTAGTAGGCACAGTGGGAACCAGCAGATGTGTTGGAGAAGTAATGGTCTAGCGTCTTCCGCTGTTCAGTAGCAACTTCCCACTCTTTGGCTATATCTGTGTGTGAAAACTACATTATCAGTAGTCTAAATATATCTTGTTCAATAACGGAAAATGAATTGAAACATCTGGACTGCTTAGCAGTATGGAAGACCAACGCAACAGGAAAAAACATTTACTTTTTTTCTTGAAAGGAGGAAAAAGGATAGGAGGATAAAGCATCTCTCTTAAAAAAAGGAAGTAATAAAAGAAATTAATTTCTTTCCAAAAAATAAATTAAAAAAAAATCCCCAAATAGCAGTAGACGGGCCATGATCAGATAAACTTTAACAAGATACTGGTGCATTTCTTCATTGTTGAGCAGGCAGTTTGGTTTTTTTGCATCGGTAGGACACAAAATAATAACTAAATACATCCTTGCATAGTTTATTATCTGTGTTAATCTGAAGCCTATAAAAATCGATAATGTATCTTTGTTTTGTAACATAACTGTAGTGTCAAGGGAGGGAAGCAATTTTTATGAGTGGGTTAAAAACTTATTGAAAATGAAGATTACATTAAGGAAAGACTAATAAGAATTGAATAGTTACTTTGGATTTATGCAATTGTGCTAAGCGTAGAGGAACATTTAATAAACGCTTGCTTTCTTTTTCTTTTTTTCTTCTAACTCTTGTTATTTTGTGACTTTCAGAAATCCTGCCAGAAACCCGTGGACAAATACATTGAGTATGATCCTGTTATCATCTTGATTAATGCTATTTTATGTAAAGCACAAGCATACAGACACATTCTTTTCAATACAAAGATAAATGTAAGTTGCTACGCCCCCACCATGTGACTTTGTTTGTTAAAGATATGTTTAGGTTTGGTAAGTTGATTGTAATAGTTGTAAAGTTTTAGGAACTGTTCCTCTGCCTTTCCACCGGTTCCATCAAGCTGAACCAGTTTTATTCTCGAACAGGTTAAGGGTCTAATATCGTGAATAGAACACATGAAATCTCAAACTACTAAGAAGTTCCTGTCTCCCCAGTAGCAATACCACAATACCAGCAAATACAGCAGTCATCGTATATGTTAAAGAGAGTCCTAACTGGACTCATTGGAAGAGAAAGGTCTAATTTCATTTCCAACTTAAATTTCTGTTGGAAACAGTTCTTTTTGAAATGAGCTATAGTGGTATAACATACTATATTAACAATACTATGCCAATTAAACCTACTGTAGTGATTTCTTACGAGTTTCCTCCTGAGTAATTAGCCATGTCCTCAAAACTATAGCAAAAGATAGTGGCTTTCATGTGAAGCATTGTTGATGCAGAGTTATGTAGTCAACTTAGTTGTGCTGGCCCAGCCAGAGTGTAGAGGTGTAGCTTTTCTGACAGAATTGCATATTTTTACTTTAAGGATTGATTTCCCAGGAGAGGGAAGCTAATCTAGAGCAAGCTATCCAAGCATAAGTGTATGCTGTGTTCGTGTTGATACCTCTTGACCAGTCCAGTATTAAGCAATGTAGATAGATACACTCACCTCGTCTTTCAAGCATAGATCTTACTAAAGGACTTAATGAATTCAGTGCTTCTGGAGACTGGTAATGATGTTTTCCATGAGGCTTCTGGAAGAACTATTCCATCTGTGGAAATTTTGTCTATTCAAATAAATTGAGTTGAATTTTAAACTGGCTTAGCCTGTGCATGTGTGTGCAATTGGCATAACTAGTCTCTAATGAAAAAAGTAGAATCCACGCACAGAAATTGCAGTGGTTTATTTAAATCTGTATAAAATCAGAATTCACCCCGCGTACACACTGGCTTGCAGGCTGTTTAATGTGGAAACATGCTAACTATGGACCCTCACTACATCATTTTTGTAGTCACTTCAGAGGATACTTTTAAGTTTTGTTTAGTTACGCGCTCCATTTATTTTTGGTTCTTCACCCTTACCTGAACTAAGAAATGTTTTGGGTATAACTACACTACCAGTTTCTTCTAATGGAGATCGTCCCAGGCAAAAACAGAAACTAGGCTATTTAAACCAGTTCACTAAAGGGAGGAGTTGCCCTGAAACTAAAATTTTTGATAGTATAGTTTTGCTAGCTATGGCACAATTTTGTTTTTATATTCCTAACTGAAACACCCTTCCCAATTAAAAGAAAAGTATAAAGCAGGCTTTACAAAATACAGTTATGTGCTTTATTCTGTATGGAACTGTTCATGCAGTTTCCTACCTTCTCTAACTGGCTTAACATGTTAATTTATGTTAAAAGGATGATGTGCTAAACTAGTGGCTCAACAGAAGTAATTTGCTTATATTTCTAAACAAACATAATAAAGCTACAGAGCTTGTTTGTGTGGAGATGTAGAAATTTACTTTAAATACCAATTTAATACTTTAATTTATGCTGATTTAATACTAATGCTTTTATTATTCTTTCATTTACCAGATTCATGGGAAGCTCTGCATATTTTGTTTGCTCTGTGAGGCTTATCTCAGGTGGCTGCAACTACAGGATTCAAGCCAAAATACAGATCCTGATGATTTAATCAGATATGCCAAGGAATGGGATTTTTATAAAATGTTTGGTATAGCTTCTTTAGGTAAGATCAATGATTAGTTCATGTAACGATTTTCTCTTTAAGCACTGAATGACTTCATGAGTATTTCATCAAGCCTGTATTGCAAAAATTAATATAGAATGGATGTCGTGTCCTACCCAGTATGGTTAAACAATTATACACATACTCTCTCATTTGCCTTCATTTAATGCAGATGCATATTTCGATCCTGATTACAGTTCAGACTGATAAGTAGTAGATACCACAACACTGAAAAGTGCCAATATTCAGAAATCTTCATCTGAATCCATTTACATAGTTTTGAAGACTAGCGCAGAGCTCAGCCTTATTCCATATTTGATGTTGACTCCAAGGTTTATTATTCATTAAGGTGATGCAACATTAAAGATGATCCTTACAGAAGTAAACAATAATCGGGAAAAGCTGTATCTGGGTTTTATTTTTACATGAATACACAAAGATACAGAGCAGTGTCATCACTGGTAAGGAGTAAATACTTCTGTGCTGCAAGACTAAATTTGAAGGCAGGGGAAGGTTTTAGTTTTATTTTGGTTATTCTCATATTTTTTCCTGGTGATAAAGTTTAAATCAAGCCTGCAGACTAAAACTAGTATTTCCCTTAGACATTCAGAGTTTAACTTCAGTCATTTATTATCTAGTGTTGCTCTAAGTAGGCTTTCGTAACAAGTCAGTAAAATGGTTGGAATTCGTTTTTCAGTAGTAGTTCATCTATTACAGTTGTCATGAGAGTTGCTTTGACATCTGCATTAATACCATTGTTATGCAGGGATGCGGTGTCAAAAAAAGTCTAATAGCTCAATGATATTTTCACCTTAGTGTTCTTTCTCATGCCGGATGGAAATGGTTCATTGCTGGTGACCTTTTCGAAAAAGACAAGTATTGATCTTGTTTTACAGACTAACAGGCAGTTGAAAAAAAGTAAAGGAAGTTCATATGCTAAACTTCCTGTGCTGTATGGTGTCAGAAATTACAAGTATGACAATCCTACAGACAGAATTCTGTGACAGAATTATTTTGAATGTCATGAATGAACACAGGAGATGGAGGACATGTTGATGTTTGCAGATGTCTTTTAAATAGCAGTGGCTCAGTTGCATTTGGGACACATAATTTCATTGAAAGTCATTGAAAAAAGGACTTGAGTTTGGCACTTCATTCTCTCTTTCCAATTCCTCTTATTTCCTCTTAGAACAAACTTCATTTTTGCTTGGCATTTTTATTACCTTGTGGTGGATGAGACCTGAGATGCTGAAAACAAAGTCTGACTTCGTTTTACTTCTCAAAGCACTGCTGTTGTCCAGCTATGGAAAGCTTTTGCTAATTCCAGCTGTTATTTGGGAACATGACTACACGCCTTTGTGCCTTGTGTTTATAAAAGTGTTTGTCTTGATATCAAACTCTCAGGCAATTAGAGGTATGTTTTTGCTTTTTTATTATTATGTTATTTGTATAGAATGTGCGTGAGAGAATGCAGCTGTTACAGAAATCACTATTATTGCTGTTATTTAGACTTTAATAGAAAGTGAATGAAACAAAACGCTGTTAAAAAAAGAAAAAGCACCTCTTATCTCGCCATCATCTCTTTGTATATGCTGTATTATATCTATCAGATCCATCAGTTAGAATTTGAGACAACTCACTGTGGATCATTGAAACGTAAAGTAGAATTCTTTGTGTGTCTGGAAGATGAAAATTTCATGTTAATTTTATGCATGGCTTTGGAATGCAGACTTTAACAGATCTGTGTGATTTTTTTATACATACAAATTAATATGAATTCTCGCATGGTTTCCATGATGTTCTTAAATGGTGATAAATTTGTTCTGTTTTCTTTTGCAGTTACACTGAACTTGAACCGAATGCTCCCTTGGTTGGCCATCATCTTTGGATTAATTTTGGAAAATGGTGTGGTCTGGTTGTTCCAGAAAATGGGATGGGATGTTTGAAACATCAGCAGAGATCTGAAGAAATACCAACATGATTGTAATTTTCTAAGAATGATGTCTGTCAGCAAGCTCCAAAGACACTATTTTCATAGTGATAAAGAAGGTGGTAGATAACAAAAACTTGCATTAGTGGTAAGTGTAGACAGTTTTAGGATGAGTTAAAATGAGAAACTTCAGAAGTTTGGCTATTTAATGTGGTGAGCCATAAAACCTCTGCCTTAGCTTGTTTATTTTCCCATTAAAAATATGATTGTGTCACTATCCTAATAGCTTCTTAAATCTGGCTGCATAGCTATGGCTGTAACAAAAAAGGTACACTACAAAAACGAGCACTGCTACCTGTCACTGCATTTTGGCAGAAAGAGGAGGATGAATTGTTCCTTTAAGAGGAAAGAAGAGAGCCAGTGGAAAAATGTAAAGGCCAAAATTGATATTTCTGCAAAAACAGATTTTCAAAGAGAGAAGTGAACATGTGCAAACAGATTATTAGAGAAAAGGCACGTACTCCTGAGTAAAACCACAGTGGGAAAACTCTGGAATGTTTACGTAACAATCTATAAAATAAAATATCTGGTTCTAGAGTAATCTCTAGGAACTATAGATTTAACTGGGTTGAAATTTTATGTGATCTCATGAACACTGCTGCTTTGTTCTGAAAGCTGAAAAGAGAGTGAAAGGCCTCTGATCCCTAGCATACAGAGTTGTTTGGGATACTGCTACTTCTGCATTTAATATTAAGCCACATCTCCTGCACCCAGCCCTCATCTGGCAGCAGGTTTGGTGGAAGCAAAAAGTGAAGTATGAGGCTGCTCAGCAATAGAGTAGTACTTGTTAAAAAAACAATAACAAAAAATGTTTAGGCCTAAATTAATGAAGAAACATTTATAGAAGTTCTGCACCTTTTTCCCCAGCAGGCAAAGAGAGGGCGAGATGGCCGACAAAGGAACTGGCAGAATTGGTTTCCGTAAGACAGTAATTAGGACACAAACCTACTTCTTTTGTGCAGAGCACTTTCCATGATGTTCCATCCAATGTTTAATTCTCCTGCTTCAGTTCTGGAAGGCTGTACTATCTACAGGTACTACTTCCATTCTTCATTTTCCTCAGATGCAGGCTCCTATCTGTGTTTTGCAAAATGCATGAAATAACATTTTGCAACATCTTCGAGTGAATTCCAAGCAGGTTTAGAGTAAGTCTAGATTATGACCCGACATCAGACATGTTTGTCTGATGCAGCTGCCCATGCCACGGTAAGTTTTTCGGTCAGAAAAGCAAATGGTTGCTGGTTCTGTTTTAATAGGTCAAAGGCTGACACCACTCATGTGCCATTTGTGTTACATTTGACCTCTTTCTGAGCATGTGACGGTATGGCTAGAGAAGGCAACCCCCCCCAAATTTCAATCTCTTTTAAGTACACGAGTACTTGCAGTTTAACACTGCAACAGCCCCAGCAAGCACATAGTTGTGAAGGTGTATGAGGGATCCACCTTGCTACTGGTGTGAATCAGTGGCCAGACAATTGAGTGTAGGTGTGCAGTTGCTCCCTGGCTGAGCAGCAGCTTTGGCAACACGTACCTAGAACATGCTTTGCTTTACATAATTAGATTCAGGGAGATACTCCACCCCCAAAAGCTTTTTTAAAAACAGTATGCTGCCAAAGGTGCTCTGAGTAGGGCTTATCTTCCTCCAATAACGTCAGCACACAGCGTTGCAGCAGAGGCTGCAGGTTGAGAGGGTGCAAAGGGAAAAAGCAGTAGACCTTTTAGAAAAGCTTCAGGGATGCTGGTCTGGCCTGCTTTTGTTTTCCTCCTTCACCTTCTGCCTTGACTTTAAGAGGCAATGAAATGCTGCAGCAGAGAGGATGGCATACAAGAATACATACTAGGAAAATGCTGGTGCCTGCTGAGCCAAACCCTGTTTGTTATTGTAGCCATCATCTGGTTTTTACCCAGCTCTCTGTTCATCTTAGCATGACCTTAGCATTGCAGCTGATAAAGTTTCTCACCGCTCTATGATGTCCCTCTTCAGGAAATGTACATTCTTTCTACTGCCAGTTTTGGTTTTCTAGTGATGTAACAACAGTGCTTTGGTTTGTTCCTCTTAGGTTAATTTTTTTTTTTTGTTACACACAAAAGATTTTTTTTTTCCCAGAAATTTCTGCTTTGTCTGCTCTGGCACTGGTGTCAGTCTGAGTGGAGCACATTTAAGTGTGACTAATGCAAGGGGAGATTTTGCATTCCATGTAATGTAAATATTACCTACTCAGCAGCCAAATTGTAAATACAATGTATATAAGTTTTGTTTGGGAACAGTTTTCTTAAATTAAAGTTTATTTTTAATTAAAAACAAAATTATTTCAGGACGTTTTCTGAGTTTTATTCAGAAGACCTAAAATGGACATGAACACATTCCGAAAGAAGAAATGCTTATCTGTTGTGTTACATCTGCCAATAACGTATCAGTTATGCACTCTGTAATGCTATCGGGAGCCACCACTGTCTTTATGCAACTTTGAGGGTGGAGAAGAAAATTAAGAGCTACAGAGCTGTGGAATGAATGCAGGTTTTGTACAGGTTTTCAGTCTTCAGAGGCATCATTATTGTCTAGTAATGTAGGACATTCTGCCTTTTGTGGTTTTATGGATACTCATTTACCAGAACTAACATGACAAATACACTAATGTTTCATAAATCTAGGGGGAACTTGAGGATGCCCTCTGTGTGTGTGGGCAGGTGTGTGTGCATTTTTGATGCCTTTGGAAAAGGATTCCATATGGTGCTTGAGAGAACCTACCCTATTGGTCCTGCCTGTTTAAAATTCATCTCGCTTTTATTCCTTTTTGTCTTTTGAGCTCCTCTTCTTTCATAAACTCGTTGTAATGAAATAGTCGTCTGTGCTGGAAGATGTATGACAAATAGCCTGCGCTTTCTATCTGTCTTCAGTTGTTGCCTTAACGTATGGGAAAGGGTTTACTTGGGTTAAAAGTATAATAGCCTGCAAATGAACCCATGTAAACTCTTTGAGTTTTGCTTGGAATCAAAAGGGTTATCGTGGCCTATGGGAAATTCGTGGGCCTATGGAGCAAATTCCAGAATTCTGTCGGATGAAATGCACAGAAGAACCAGTGATGTTATTCAGACTGGGGCTGAGCAACAGTTTAGTGATTGCACAGTGGGAGCTGGGAGCTTTAACTGGGTCCATAGGCCGGGTAACAAGTATTTAGAAATTACTTTATACAAAATTGGATAATTAGAGTATAAGCTAGGAAAGGTTAAAAGAATGTAGGTGTCAGGCAGACTTCTACAAAATTAAGAGTTGAGAAGACTATAAAAACTAAGGGGAAATTAATATGTAAGAAAAGATGCAGTATAGATGAGTGTATGATTAAGCAAATGTATGAACATCCTACTCCTAAATTTTCAAAGGATGAACTTGAAGGAAGAATATTATTTATTGTAGACATTTTTGTAATAGTCTAAGTGATAACATGAAATGGCAAAGGATGTCTTCCAAACAGTAAAGTCTATGGGTTTCCCTAGAAAAGTTACTGGTAACCTCATTACTTCAGTGGTTTGCACTCCATCCTTGAAAATATACTTTTATGAGCAGAATTACCACTTGTACAGAGATAGAATTAATCACTGTGAATAGGAAGAGCTGTGGAACAGCAGACCTTCTCCCTTCATTCTGCAATAGCTTGTGTTGGATTAGGTTTTACTGCTGGAGGCAAGGGCTGTGACCCTCGTGACCGTGTGCAAGTACAGACAAGCGAGTCCTTTCTTCCACAAGTTGTATCTCAGGCATATAAACTGCCATTTGTTTAGCCCAGTCTTCACCAAACTGAAAGTAAAATAGGACATCTGCACTGGAAAACTATTAGCAGCTGATTTCTCATAGAACAAGAAAGCTGTTGTTTTTCAGGAGCTTGCATGCTTTTGCAATCCATCTGCTCTCCCCCAGTTGGGTAGTGTTAAGCCCCACAGTGCCATCTGGAGTTGAAAAGTAAAGCACTATTGTTTCCAAAACTGGAAGGAATGTAAAAGCACTATAAGTATGTATTCTTTGATTAATTTTTGTTTTGTAAAATCACAATTTCAAGCTTTTGATATTAATTATTTTTAGTTTGGAGAAATGTTAGAGTGAAGTTAGTGATGAAAAACAGATCACAAAGTACTTGTTTTGGTGACTTGGTATCAAGGTCAATTTAATATATCACCATGAAAGCTATAAAATGCAAATTATTTTAGCACAGCTTCTCTTTGTTTAAGACATAAACAGTCCTGCAAGCTGGGATTATTCTGAGTAGCCTCGCTGAGCTCAGAGAAAATCTGTGGGGCAAAAGACATAGTGAATGCATTCCTCTGCTGCTAAAAGTCAATAGGAATTTTGTTGCTGAATTAATTTGAAACCCAGGTTGCTGCAGTTAGAATTTGCAGGCAGGTATATATAACAAGATTCCTGTTTTCTCTCCTGTCTCTTATAATGCTGTTCTGACCTTCTTACTCTTTCCAATAATGCTTACTACGTTACTGAGGTGGCTAGAAAGAAGATCTGAACATGAGGAGCTTTGCAAAATCTTTTTCCTAAACATGATCTGCTGTCCTAAATTTGTAAAGCTCTTTTGAGCCCTGTATAAATAAATGGGAGGTCTGCAAAAGCTGCTAAGAAATACTACCAGTGATGTTTAATTGCTATTCATTAGGATAATAGATATTAGTTTGTTTGTTTGTTTGTTTTTTCCCTGAGTAAAAATGGGGTTTAAATTCCTTTACACAGTAGCATAAAAGTGTAAACTCACAGTTTGTAGATGTGCTGGCTGCTGCAGAAATAAATCCAGATGACCCCCATAATTTCTTATAATCTCTAACTGTAATTCTGAGTACATTTTTAGGCAAAGAACTGTTGTCCATAAGATGCACAGAAGTGCCTGCCATAGCTATGTGAGCAGACGAGTGGGGACCTGAACTGAGACCTGAATCCTAATTCTGGCTATAACACTGACTACTGATGCGACCTTGAACAAGTCCATATATGTGGCTCCATAAAATGATTGGACCTTCACCATCGCAGGATTTGGGGGGAGGATTAATTTGTTTGTGTCCGTTTAAAAAGAT